CTTTGCTTAATAAAGACGGATTGTTTATTTAGGTCCAAAGCCTGAATTTCAGGCTGAATTCAGTTTGGCAGATATGTGCCAGTGCAGATGGTTGGCACAGGGGGGCTGTTCTGTAACTTTTAGTTTGTGTCTCTTAAAAAAAAATAGTCCTAATGAGAACACTGAATTCCAGGGAAGACTTTGGTGAGAGAGAAAGAGAATTGTGAAATCAAGTAGTTGTCTGAACTCACTGAAAATAAATATGATACTTTACTTGAAAAGGAAAGAAAGAAGTGGAGCTGTGTTTGCTTGCTTGTTTATTTTTAAATGCCATTTCTAAGTTTTCTATTTCTTTGAAAAAGAGTTGACAGAATACTGAAAACCAAATCCACAGGATTCTTGGTCTGCATTTTTTTATTTCCACACAAACTTTTGGAAAAAAAAATATTTTCCTTTTTTTTTTTTTCTGTATCAGAAAAAAATTCTTTCAGGGATCTTACACTTTGATTTTCAGCTGGAGTGAGATAGAAAGAGGGAGAATAGTCTAAAATCAATTTCCTAAAGGTCTGAGGAATCATAAATACAGTTTGAATCAATACCTTGTGCATGAGAGTTTGAGTGTGTGTGTGTGTGTGTCTTCCCTCACACGCATTTATTCAAACAACTGCTTTCCCATAACAGAATATTCAGTTCCTTAGGGATAATAAATTGGCCTTCCAAAGTGGAATATTAGCATCAGGCAGAGGATCCTTAACATCTGCTTTTCCAAAACTTTTCTCTCCATAGGGGATTCTGTTCTCTGGCTGACACTGGTTTTATGTTGCTGTGTGTGCATTGACATTCAGGAGAGGAGAACACCCCTTATAAAAGCATTTTAGTGCAAACTCTGAGAGCTTTAAAAACCAGCCTCAAATTAAGCAGGTGCTTCAGCTTTGTCACAGGTTGGTAATGCAGCCACATCTCGGTGTCCTTGAACCCTCTGTAGGTGAGGCCAAGTTAATTCTCGTATGGCCATGGACACAAAGAGCAGTTTCCTTGCCTAAAAACTCAGTAGGATCCTCAGGGCACGAGGCTGACTGTGCTTGCATCCCAGAGCATTGTGTTCTGCATGCTGCTCTTCCAATATTTACCCAAGGTAATGGATAGTAGTAAAAAGACTTTGCATTTTGGGAAGGAGAGGTTGGAATTAACAAACTGCATGTGCAGCTTGGCTGGGGGAGCTCCTGGCAATAGACACTGAGTTATCCACAAAATTTCAAAGTCAGAGGGTCAGGGCTGCTGTTTGGTAATAAAGCAGAGGAACAGCACATGGCTCAGCAAAGGAGGCTCCTTCCTGGAATGCAGCTGGGTTATTATAGACACAGAACCCTGAACCAGTTTGTGTTGGAAGGGACTTTAAAGCTCATCTTGTTCCAACCTCTGCCATGGGCAGGGGCACCTTCCACTAGCCCAGGTTGCTCCAAACAAACTCTTGGACACTTCCAGGGATGGGGCAGCCACAGCTTCTCTGGGCAACCTATGCCAGGGCATCCCCACCCTCACAGGGAAGAATTTCTTTTTAATATCTAATCTAATCCTGCCCTCTGTCAGTGTAAAACCATTCCCTCTTGTCCTGTCTCTACATGTCCATGTCAGAAGCCCCTCTCCAGCTCTCTTGTAGCCCCTTTAGCTACTGGAAGGTGCTGCGAGGTATCCCCAGTGCCTTCTCTTCACCAGGCTAAACAGCCGCAACTCTCTCAGTCTTCCTTCATAGCAGAGGTGCTCCATCCCTCTAATCATCTTCACAGCCCTCCTCTGGACCTGCTCCAACAGGTCTATGTCCTTCCTCCCATGTGTGTTAGTGCTGGAGGGTCCCTTGCTGTGATGTGCAACGACTTCTTGGACACGCTGCTGAAGCATCCCAGAGACCTGGGACATGGATCCCCACGCCAGAGGCTCCTGTGTCCCACGGCAGCAGAAGTAATGGATGCTGTCAGTGTTATCCTGAGCACAGCCTTGTGCAGCCAACGCTGTCAGCTCCTTCTTTTCACTCTCTGGAAGCCAAATGCTGTTTTCCCTCTAGTCCCTTTCGCTGCATTCCCCCACGGAACCATTCCAATGCAGTGAGGTGGGGATGGACTCAGCCACCCGTGCCCTGTGCTGTGTCTGCAGGTCTGGGAGCTCTGGAATCAGTGACACAGGACAAAGTGTCTCATTGCTCTGGGATCACCTCGGCTCTGTGGCTGCCCAGGCTCCAACTCTCTGTGGGGAAGATGCATCTGAATCTCATCATGTCAGGTTTTTCTCCTCAAGCAGCTTGGTGTGTGGGCTGCTGCCTGCTCTCTAAAAGCTTCTGAGATATTTGTAGCTGCTCTGCTTGTTCTGATTTTGCTGGAACAAAAATAATTACTCAAAGGACAGGGGGAAAAAAATGTATGTATGTGTACATATGTATGGTGTATTCTGAAAAAAACAGTTTGAAATGTGCCACAGGACTGCACTGTGCTTTAAAGGAATGTCATGAGGGAGACAGCTTTGTTCTTGCTGCACAGTGAAGGTCCTGAATTAGGAAAATACCACAGGAGAGAGTTTGCATGTTTTGAAAACTACACCAGGATCACAGCTCTGCCCTGGAATTTCATTACAGTCCCTTATATATTCTGGCATGCTCTGGTAAGGAAGGAAGAGTCCTGCCAATTTGTAAGGGTTATGGTTAAATTTATGGCTGGAGGGCTGATCAGATCCAGCTAATGCATGTTGCTGATATAATATTGTATATTTCTTCCATCTGGTCTTCAGCTTTCTGGGATTAATTTCACATATGCAGAGAGAACTTGTGACTTCCACAACTTTTACTTCCCTGGGTGTAATGACAGATAAGGCAGATGTGCCCATTTCCCAACCTGCCCTGGTGCTGCGACTGAAAATATTTTAAACCCTCCAACCTCAAATCAAAGAACTGTTTTAAATTTAATCTCTGAACACTTTGAGCTGAGTTTAAGGGTGAAATTTGCCTAATGGAAGTCCTCAAAACCGAGCTCAGGTGGGACCGAAATGAAGTTTCAGCTTTCGCAATGAGTCACATCACAGGAGTTCAATTCCCCCACGTCTCGGGCGAACTTACCAATCATTTGCCGAATTATTGCACACATGTGTCTACAAAATCTGCCTACCTGTTATCCCTCCTGCTTTGAAGACCAGCAGAAAGCTGGGACTGGCACAGCCAGCCTGTTGTAATTGAATTTCCCTGCCTCCTGCGTTGTATTTTATCAGGTGATGACTCGGAGGTATTTGCATTGCACAGAGCTGCTGAGGAGAGCGGCTGAAAAACGGTGTGAAAATGCTGATAAATAGCTCTAAATGAAAGTAATTTTAGCAAGAGCACTGGTAGGCAGCCTCAGTCTCCTTTTTGGTGACTCTAACACTCCAAAGTGAGGGCTTCCAACAGGCACAGGGAGGGAGCAGTGTCACACAGCACCCGAGGCTGCAAGAGGCAAGAACTGGCTTTTCTTTGCCTTCCTATTGTCTGAGTCCAGCTGGATCGCCTTAGTGGCCAGATTAAAGCCTCAAAGTTCTGCTGCAGACCCATTCATGGCTTTCTTTTCCCTTGTGAATGGGAAATAGGTGGAGGATATTAGGGCTCACAGCCCTGGAGGACACAGCTCTTCCTCTTTACATTCATCTACCAGTTGGATTAAAGAGAGGGGCAATGGCAGCTCCTCATGGGTGTATCTGAGCTTTGGTTCATAAGACAAATATCTTAAAGGCCAGGTGACCTCTAGATATGCTCAGACCTTGGTCTTCTCAATTGTGTTTTAAATTTCATGCTGTTCATTCTAAGACCAGAGTAAGGCACCCACAAGAGTTGCAGCTAAAGCACCACCACATCAACTGGTCACCAGTGGATGGAAGAACAGAGTACTTCCAGGTTGTTATTTTTTGATATTAAGATTGAGACCAATTTCAAAGCTCTTCTGAGATGTATTTAATACAAGAAAGAAGGGCTTGGGGGGGGGGGGGGGGAGTGGTTTCTAGGCTTGCACTGATGGAAACCTGAAGCTCAAAGTCACTTTTTTATTCATTTTTGTTTGTTTGGGGGTTTGTTGTGTTTACCTCTAAGTAGAGGTGGAAATAGCTCACTCCAGCTCCTTGTACTTAAGGATCCATTTGTGCTGCTGCCTCAGCTCCTCCCGTGCAAGGCAGTGAGTTGAAAGAGTGATTTAGACACTGTTAACACAAACGAGAGGAGACAGGCCAGTACTTAGCACGACAGACTACTCAGAAAGTTTAGACAGGGAAAAGCTGTTTCTTTTCTCTCTGTCGTTTCCCCTTTGCAGCCTGCAGATGAGAATTTCATAGCAGAATAACTCAAGGAGAAGGAACCCCTAGGTAATTCAGCTGCAGTCATCTGGCAGCCCTTAAAGTCCGTGGTCTGTGTGTACTGGCAGGTGCTGTGTACAATGGAAAGGGAATTGTTCAGAATGAGTGACAAGGCATATTCTAAATATCCAGTGCAAGCATTCAACAGGGAAACACAGGAAATACAGAAATGAGAGAGGCTGAGTGGTGGTGTTGCTGCTCTGTTCAATCTGAGTCCTAAAATCCTGGATCCCAAACTCCTGGGTTAGATGGGAGGTATTGGAGGGCAAAGTAAAACAGCTCCTGGGTCAGTAGATTGGCTGACCACTGAGTGGGCTGACTGTAAACCATATTTAAAGTGTAAAAACAACAAAAAAAATTCAGATCCATAAGGTCTGAATTAAAACCTACTGTAGATCTCAGGGTTCTCCCAACCAATAGTCACAATTAAATCTACTTTTCAGACATGCATATCAGTTTAAGACCCAGAGGCAAGAAATAGCTTTATCTACTAAAGTGAGACTCATCTCTGTGCAGATCACCAGGGAAAAAAGAAATCCTTTGCTCTGAATGCTACAGATTTAGTTTGGGTAAACACATGTAATTCATGGATGAATGTATTCCTGCTTGCTTCACCTTATAGGAGTGAATCTGACCTCAATATTCAAAAACATGTTTTTCAGATCAATTTGACCTGTGTTACAGTGTCCACCCTTTGGGGATACAGGAGAAATCACTCCAGCATTATTCAACAACCTGGGCAGCACATGGGCATCTGAGCAGTGTGAGTGTCTCTTTTTTTCCTCTCCCAGGATTTTCTGAGGAATGAGATAATTCTCTTAACTCTAGAAATAACTCTATTAATATTTTTGAATGTAGCTGGTTACACTGACACAAGGGAACTGGCTGGAGATTCTAGGATAAAACAGAATCTATTGTGCAATTCTCTAGATTAAAACCATCAGACAACTAAGTGGATTCAGAAAGTCAAAAGGAGAAATGCCCTGTGACAATAGAAAAATCAAAGTTTTCCAGATACTCTCTTGGGTGATGAGTAAACCTATAAAGAAAGGGACTGATCAGCAACGAGAACAACATTTCAGATGAGCTGGGGAGATAAAGTGAGACTTGCAAAATGTCAAGGTTTTAATTTCCTCACAGAGGAGATTCTTTGTAGAGGAAATTAAAACAAACAGTAGAAATTCCTTACCCATAGTAATAAGGAGTATATAATAAGAGAAGAAGCACTGACACCATGCAGAAAGAATGAGACCAAGTTTGAACATAATCTGCATTTGTCCTCAAAACAAAATGAATAATTTTCTTTCAGTTTCTGTAGGGTTGTTGGTAATGACCACGGCATAAAAGCAGGGCATGGATAGGAGGGAGTTTATGGACACTTAAATTACTCTGGCTGAGGTAGAAGTAAAATTCAATCTTCTTGATGTGATGATAATGAGAGGAACAAACTGCTTTCATTCCTGATTTCTGAAAGAGCCCTTTTACAGAATGTTGGTTCAGTAGCAGGTTGATATTATTTGATACAAGAATAGTAAGCACATGTATTTCAGAAAAAAAAGATGATCAAGGCACTTGCAAGTCTATTAGTGTGACCTCTAGTTTGCAAAACCAACTTTGAATGGCAGTTTAAATAAAATAGTGTAAGATGGATCACAACATCTTCTCTGGGAAAAGATCAGGAGAGAATGGGGTGGTATCTTGCTTGAGAAGTTAACTAATTTCTGTCTGTTTGATGTAGTTTAGATCTGTATCCAAATAAGCAAGAAACATTTGAGACAGGCAATATGAGCAATTCTCATTAAGGCAGAGGTAGGCCAAGTGAAGTTAAATCTGATCAGAAGAGTGTTACAGAAAGAGAGAACTTCTACAAAAAAGAAGTATTTCTGTGAGGGGGTTAGAAGTGAAATTCTTCAAGAATCAGTCTTGTCTGATCCAAGTTCACATATGCATTACTAGTGGAAATTATTAGTGATGAATGATGTTAAAAAAAGATGGTCTAAAATGAGTGGAATTTGCTTGTGCTAAAGTACTGATGAGGACTGGACAAGTGAACTGAGAAATCTGTGTGGAAAAACAAAGTTTATGAGCCTGAGAAATGCCTGGAGATGTTAGACAAGCTCAGAAGAGTCTGCTGAGGTATCAGGATGTGATGGAACTGCGGAAAAGGCAAATTCTAAGATGCCTCAGGCAATGTGTGTCTAATAAAGCAAGAGAAATGGCAATATTTTTCTATCAGAGCCTGACACAAATTCATCTGTAATGCCAGGTACAGCTCTAGACATCTGTGTCTAATGTAGACTAATTCAGATAGAGGTGGGTTCAGAGAAGGACTGATGGGGAAAATCAAGTGGAGGGAGAGGCAAAGACTTGAATTTTTAAGACAAGTAAACAACTGTTGTTACTAAACAGAGAGTCTTGAGGGGTATGTGGAAAAGATGAACAGAAGGATTCAAAATGCCAGAGAAGGAGATGATTTGTTAAGCTCAAGGGTAACACTGGCACAAGAAGAAATGAACGTCAACAAGCCATGATTAAATTCAAGCTGAAAAATATAAGCAGGAGTCTCAAAGTCAGAAGAGACTGAGCTTTATGGCAAAGTCTGCTGAGAGGAGAGAAAACCTGAAATCCTTCCCAAACAACTAGAGCCACTAAATGAAGGTACTTACCCCTGGGATTTGGTCACATTAGATTCCCTCATAATTAATGTGAAGAGCCTCCTCCAGAGGGTGACTCAGACCTTGGGTGGGTTGAATCAGCTCAGAGGTGTCTCTCCCTCCCCTGAACTGAGGTCTGAGGTAACTCATTTCTCCTCCTGGTTCCTCAGATCCTTGAAGTGCGATGGGTGACTCTGCAAATGGGAAAGGGCCAATTAATTCTTAGATGAAGGATGATTATTTGAAGATATTCCATGGAGTACCTGCATGATATTATCTATTACCTGCAAGAGCAAATGCACAAATTTGAAGACTCAATTCTGTTTTAGATCAGTTTGATACTGCAAAGTTCCTACGTACTGACGTCATTTCAGCACCTTTTTCTGGCACCTTTTCTCTCATTTAAGGCCAAAAAATATTTCAAAAGGAGGGTTAGACTGCCACAGTTACTTTGTCTCAGCTCTGTGTAGTCTCTGCATTCTGCATTGAATTATAGCATGGTCTCAGGTGTCACAGGAAATCATGGGAAGTTTAATTTTGGGAAGAAAGATGGGTTGTGCCCATGGGCAGTAGGTTTTGTCTCTGTTGGAGAAGGAGCAGAATTATTGACTTCCAGCTCTTTGAAATTGAGTCTGGATCTATTACAACAAATCTTATTCATTTTTCCTGGATTGCCAACCTGTTTGGAGCAGGGATGAAGCAGTACCAATCTTTTGGGCACAGGTGATTCCTCTGTTTCACAATGTGTAGTGGCCTCTTCTATGAGACACAATAGTGTGGCCACATTAGTCTGTCTCCTGATGTACACCAGTTGTTATATCCTGGTTTCAAAGAAATTATGCTTCATTCTCTCTAGCTTAAGCAGCTCAAACCTCTGTGACTATGTTTTTCAAAGTGCAACATTTAAATGGCCCTTCCCAGGCCTCTCACTGATCTCCTCCTCCATTTTATAAAGTGGTGCTAATTTGAAGGCATTTTAAACTATTCAGGAAAGAAAACTGCAAGTTTGGAGGTGATGGGGCCTCCAGTGAGGGTGAGGAGGAGGAAAGGGAATCTTGATAATGCTGCCCTTCCAGGGATTCTGCCATTAACTGATGCATTATTTTTCTAAGCTCATTAAATAACCCTTAGAACTGTGAAAAGGTCAAGAGAGAGGGGAAGGAGCTGAAGCTGCCTGTGGATTTTGGTCGTACTGCAATTTCCAAGCAAGCTCAGGAAGGAAGAGGGGGGTGGAAGAGGCAAGGAAGGAGGGGAGTGGAAAAGAACTGTTGCTTTTTTTTTTCCTAATTATCTTTTTATGTAAACAAATGTTTATCCTCTGAACTTCCCCTACACCGCCCATCTATCCAAATCCCACTGTAACTTACCTTTAGCAGCTGCTCTCTGGTGAAGCCACCAGCTTTTGTTTACAGCAAACAACTAGTTGGGATCATCTCTGGATCAGCTTAGACATGGGGTTGATGTCTTTGCCCATCACTGAATGCCCTTCAGGATGTGAGGCAGGAATTTTGGTGTCGTTGCTTTAGGAAGCCCAGGCTCTCATTAGAAACACCACACGCAGGAAGGTCTGAGGTATGAAGTCCATTTGTTACTTTTTAATGGGTTTATATTTAAAACCAGGTTGGAGGACACAAAGATTTGTCTTTGCAAGTCATAAACCTTCCAAAGAGAGACTGAGGAACAAGTTCTTCAAACCCACTGATGCTTGTGGGTTGTTTTCTTAACTTGTGAAAGAGAAGATGCAAAGCAAAAAAAAAAAAAAAAAAAAGAAAGAAAACAAATAAGTGAGACAAGTTTTCAAACTGAACTAATAGAAAAATCAAGGGTAATGTTGCCTGATCAAATAGAATAATGAAGTTCACCCCTTTGCAGAGCAATGGATGGTATCTTTGATACTTTTTATGATGTTAATATGATACTAAGGTGAAATGTGAAGGCAGTAGAAGAGTAGGTCTGTGATGAATCAGTGAACAAAGAACATAATTTGAGTCCACTGCTCAAAGAGACTCCCCAACAAAGCCCATATCCCTTCACTTTTTTTGTACAATTCATCGAATAAACCAGTGCCCCAAACACAGAACATGCCACAGGATTTGATGCAATGTTCCCCCTCTCCTTCCAAAAGAAGTCAGTCAAAAAATCTGCACAAATAAAAATCCAAGAAATTGGATTCCATATGAATAAGTACATAGTGTTGTGACATTTAAAAAATTTTGATTTTTTTCCCAGAACCAATGAATATAAAGCACAAATTTCTGCCCTTTGCTTTTAGAAAGCTGGGAGAACCTGTGTTTATTTATCTCAATGCAGAAATTGTATGAAAGCCTCATTTGTATTGGTCAGAAACAGAACAAGATTGTTTTCTAAGTTCAAGACTACTCCCATCTAGGACTGGATTTTAGTAACTGATGTTTTAGTGCATTAAGGTGGATTCACAACACTGCTGATGGGGTCTCAGCAGTCTGTGTGCAATCAGTTCTCGTATCTGGATGTCACAGCACTTTATTTTGCCTTCCTTCAGGTTTATTAATCCTGGTACTCTGCTGAGTGTGCACCAGTGCAGCATTTGGACCCTGAAAATGCAAATGCCTATCAGTAATTTCACTCAGCTCCACCAAACACATTTGCAGTTGAGTAGGAGTTGTTTCGGTGCTCTCTGTGGCGAGCATAGATTTGGTCTTTGCTGTGTCTTAGTCCTGAACTGGAGACACACAGGCAAACAATCCATGTCTCTGGTGGTCTGAGGGCAGGTCCTTTGCCCATATGGATGGGGGGGCAAAACTCAGTGTTACCCTTTTGAGCCACGTGCACAGCAAGGGCAGGTGGAGATAACACAGGGAAGATGCATCACTTGACCCCGACAGGGGATGTAGTTCTGTCCACAGCGATCCCAGAGAGTGGTTAACCTCAATTTATACATCATAACTTTATGTGGCAGATCACACCCTGGATTGGAAGGACACAGAGCAGAGAAAGGGCGCTCAGTGCTTACGAATAGATTGAGGTCAATGGGATTATGGGGTTCATCCTTGCTGGGCAGTTACAAATCCCAGTTTGTGCTGTTTGCTTCTGAGTTCACAAAGAGCACAAGAGTGATGTCTCAATGTTA